GCACGTATTGATGACGATGCGTGAATACCCGGGCTTTTCGTCGGCATCATGTTGGTGTTTCACAGAGCATTCTGAAAAGTACAATCAACGTGGTCGATCTCTCTGCGCAGAATTACTGTCTACTCGTTACCTCATTACTTGTGTTTTTGTATTGAATATTCATACGATTATAGTGGTGTTTACTCATATTTGGATTTTTAATTAATAATTATACCCCCTTCGTTTCTAACAATATACTGGGCGTAAATGTAATGGGACAGATGTGGATAAAAAAACGCTCGAGATGTAAAAAATGCATCCGATGTGGATTCTCAAACGCGGCATATATTAGCTGTTTTTTTCAGAAAATGTCTGATAGTGCGTACTCCTAAGGCGTGAGCGGAGTTATAAAATTGGCCCCTCTCAGCATCTCAATTTTTCCGTCCGTACACCAGTCATTAAAGTACAGGAAATATTTTATTTCCAATGATAAATAAGGATAATTGAATAAAATGTATGCAAGTCTGTACTTGAAAATGTATTTCTGGACAGAACTACTATTTGACCGATGATGCGTTTACGCAATACTTAACTTTGAACTTGATTAGCTATTAGTCGGAGAGCTAGAAACACAAATTTCATTAAATGTTTGATGCACTTTGAAATTTTGTAATTGGAAATCATTTGGATGGAAAAGCAGATATACCTGTGTTGGCTAGACTCACCCCGGGACACCAGGTACTGCGCATAGTAGAAAGGGGTCGTAAAATATGACCCAAAAAAAGTGTCTGATTCAGAGGCCAACAAACAACAATTGAAAGTTTAGGTAATTCAAAAAATACTAGTAATTTAAGCAGACACTTTTGAGAGAGTTTATAATTAATAAATCAACCCCAAAGTTGATTTTTTTAAAATATGATTTGAAGTGTTTGATTCACGCTGAAATTTTAATAGCGTCTTAATTCCAAAAAGGCAGACACTTTTTCCGGGGTTTAATTGCCGGCCAACATAAAAATGAATGAAACTCGTTATGCGCCACTATGCATTGAATAAGTATATACTTTTTAAAAACTAAACATTTTAAATTACCAAGACTGTGAAATAAAACAATATTTTTCCTTTTTTTTTAAGAAAAAAAAAAAAACAAAAAAAAAACTAAAAGTTTCGGGGCTCGAACCACCAACTTGCTATCCAATTTGGATAGTGTGGATAGCAAGTTGGTGGTTCGAGCCCCGAAACTTTCAGTTTTTTTTTTCTTAAAAAAAAAAAAAGAAAAATATTATTGTTTTATTATTTCAGTCTTGGTAATTTAAAATGTTTAGTTTTTAAAAAGTATATACTTATTCAATGCATAGTGGCGCATAACGAGGTTCATTCATTTTTATGTTGGCCGGCAATTAAATCCCGGAAAAAGTCTTTTTGGAATTATTTTTTTTTATATTTAATTAAGATGCTATTAAAATTTCAGCGTGAATCAAACACTTCAAATCATTTGTTGTTTGTTGACCTCTGAATCAAACACTTTTTTTGGCTCATATTTTACGACCCCTTTCTATTATGCGCAGTACCTGGTGTCCCGGGGTGGGTCTAGCCAACACAGGTATGTATATCTGCTTTTCCATCGAAATGATTTCAAATTACAAAATTTCAAAGTGCATCAAACACTTAATGAAATTTGTGTTACTATAGCTCTTGGACTATACAGGGTGTTAAAAAAAAGTGTCACAAAATGAAATGGTAAATAGTATGACCCAAAATAAGCAGAAAAGTCTTAATAAATATATGACCGCAAATTAACGGTTTCGGAGATACGGACCGTTTTGTGTTTATAACAATTTTTTACTATTATAAAAAACAATGATATTTATAAACAATCAATAACAACATAAAGTTAAATGAGATGTTCAAATACTGACGCAGCGCTTCCCTCGCATTGCCATTTGCACGACCGTACATAAAATGCATGTCAGCTAATTCAATATTGGTGTAAACAGGCATAACGAAAATTTATAAAATTATTCACCCACAACAAAATAATAACTGCAAATAGTATCTATGAAAAAACATCGGTAGACTCCGATAAGAAAAGCAAGTTTTTAAAAATGAAAAAAGATAATCAAAAAATGATACAAAACAATCCGTATCTCTGAAACCATTCATTTGCGGACATATGTTTATTAAGACTTTTCTGCATATTTTGGCCCATACTACCCCCCGTTTTATTTTGTGACACTTTTTTTTAACACCCTGTATACAGGGTGTTTATTAATTGAGTGCCGATACTTAAGGGTGTGAATCCTTGGGTGATTTTAAAAAGAAAAGTTAATATCAACATATGTCGTAAATCTCTTAATTTTTGAGCTACAGGGTGTTACAGTTTTTAGAAAAAAATATATTTTTTTTCATAAGTTTCTTATCACTGCAGATATTTCTATGAAATTTTGTAAACACCTTTTAATTTAAGGAGCATTTTTTGACGTACAAGATTTTTTTAAATTTTTACAGTGACTTCCGTACGGGGTTTGAACTGAATATTTTTGAAGAAAAAAATGGTACGCCACTGCTTTTTCTAAAACCCAAAATTATTTTTGAAATATTCATTTATTTTTGAGCAAATTTGGCCCATAGACTTGCTTTCGTACGATGCACTGTGTTAGCGTAAAAAAATAAAATCCAAAATTTTTTTTTTTAAGTTGCTTTTGATTTTTTGTTGAAATTTGGTAGGCACCCACCATGCGTGAACACTTATTTTGGGGCAAAAATTAATTTTCTACTTCCACCAGTGACGGCCATGTAGGCATCATATTGAATGTTTGGATAGAAAAAAAAAACGTACACCTCTGATTTTTTAAATTCTATGTATTTTAAAAATCGGGATTTATTTATAGTAAAATGAAAATTCAAAATCTTGAATCTAAAACGAAATTACAAGAGAATACAAACAAAATAAAGAACCCAAATTATTTACAGTAATTGTTGGAAGTGTCCTCCACCCACACGTATGCAAGCATCTACTCTTCTTCGCATAGACTGACGCACATTTTCAAAGATTCTGGGGGTCGATTCTCGACTCGTAGGAATATTTTCCTATAGGAATTTTTGACATTTTTATATACATCGATTGAGTTTCAAGAAAAATTAGCTTCATCGGTAAAAAGAATGTGCCTGTCAAATAATGGATTTTCCAGCAGGTTTTGAAGAAACCACTCACAGAAATTAATGCGCAACGGGAAATCTCTAGGGAGTAATGCCTGGACTCTTTGAATGTCATATGGGTATAACAAATTTTCGATGAGAATTTTCCAAACAAGTACATGTGAAACATTAAATGTTGACGCGATTCTCCTCGTGCTAGTTTCGGGGTTCTCCTCAATTTCATGTAAAATTCCTTCTTCAAGTTCCGGTGTTCTTACTGTTTGATGGACTCCTTTAGCCCTGTGGTCTACTTTTAAAGTTCCGGTCTCGTGAAGACGTCTATGAATCCTAGAAAATGTTCTCGGATCGGGTAGTACGCGATTTGGATACCGCTCTTGGTATATCCGTCTGGCTTCGTATGCATTTCCGTCTGCAAGCCCATAACTAAAATGCAAGTCAGCTAATTCACTGTTCGTAATATTTACCATTTTTTTCTTCAGATTTTAACTCTTACTCTAATAATAATTATTTAATAATGTATAATCAATGTCAACTTTATTGTCTTTATGAAAAGAAACGTCAAAAATGATGACGCTTTACCCAGCCTACTAATGTTTATTTCATTTGCTTTAAAAGAGGGCAATAATGCGCTTACCATTTTTTTCTATTCAAAACGTAGAAAATTAATTTTAACCCAAAAAAATGTTTCCACGCATGGTGGGTGCCTACCAGATTTCAATAAAATATCAAAAGCAGTAGGTATCAATGAATTTAAGAAAAAAATTTGACCAACCACTACAATGGTTTTTATTTTTTTACGCGAAAACGGTGCATCGTACGAAAGTAAGTCTATAAGCCAAGTTTGCTCCAAAATAAATGATGATTTCAAAAATAATTTTGGTTTTTAGAAAAAGCAGTGGCGTACCATTTTTTTCTTCAAAAATATTCAGTTCAAACCCCGTACGGACGTCACTGGTAAAAATTTAAAAAATCTTATACGTCAAAAAATGCTCCTTAATTATTAAAACGTGTGTACAAAATTTCATAGAAATATCTGGAGTGATAAAAAAATTAGGATAAAAAAGTTATTTTTTCTTAAAACTGTAACACCCTGTAGCTCAAAAATTAAGTGAGTTACGACATATGTTGATATTAACTTTTCTTCTTAAAATCACCTAAGGATTCACACCCTTAAGTATCGGCACTCAATTAATAAACACCCTGTATATATTATGGTTCTTATAAATTGAAAATTTGTATGAGAGCCTTTATTTTTATCATTTTATTAAGCAAGGAATAATGGAAAATATTTTAAATTGGTTTAAAAAAAGCTATGCCTATTTGAAAATTGCTTCTCTAACAATGTAAATTTCGATCATTTTTATGAAAATATTTTTTAATATGAAAAAAAAAAAAATCAAAATTTTAACGTTTTTTTACTAAGCTGGTATTGTTAATGTATTGAAAAAAAAAATAGATTTTGTCATAAATATGTAAATATAGATACTTTAAAAAAAATCGTTTATGGTGTTGCATAAAGCATCACTGGTCAAAGATGGTTTAAATATATCACAATCCAAGTAAAATTTATTACAGTTCTTGCATGAGGGATTAATAAACCCACTTTGTCCGTAATTGGTTATGTTGGTTTTAATGCTAAAAATGCACATCTTAAAGTTACCAGTCCAGAATCAATACTAAAATAGAATTACTTCACATAGTAAAAAGCCGTGGATATAATTTAAATTATTAGTAGCAAAATATTTAATAATTTTGTGGATTTAGGCTATAGTTTGAAAACCACACTTCCAGATTCATCATCATTCAAATTGATAATATCAATTAATACAAAATTATAAAAAAACTTTTAGTTTCTTAGTTTTAATTTATTTATTAGCATTTTTTCAAATAGATGAGCATTTTATTCTAGTGGCAGTAACTTTATAATAAAAAAGTAATAACATTTGAATTTCAAAAGAATAATTCTGAAACAACACAGCTGTTTATATTTAAATAGTATCACATTTAGAATAGGGGGTAATAAATTAACTTGTCTGAGAATCTGTCTCCAACTCCAATGTAGGATCAGGTCCCAAATAAGGTGCAGTATCAGTCCAATACCAAGAAGGATTTCTTATTTCTTGTAAATGAAATATTGTAGGCATGACACTACCCAGAATACTATAATAAGAACAATGCCTCAATTCAGAATTTTCAATTTCTGTCATATATGGTGGTGCTAAAATGTCTAAAAAAGCTGCAGGTCCATCACTACTGTATATTTCATGAATGTTTTTAATATTAGGTTCTAATAGGCAAGGTTTACTAGTTCCACCAACAATATCATCACCAGTTAATTCAGCAGTAATTATTCGTTTTGGTGCAAATCTAAGAGGACTATGATGCTGTGTATTCTTCCAGCTTTGCGAGTCTACCTCCAAAGTTTTCGGTGTGTTTAACGAATAACTTGTAATTCTAACCTTGCCTGCTAAAACTTTAATTAGACCGTGCATTTTTGGATGATTATGTAAGGGCAATTTTTTATTCTGTCTTAAGATGAAAATTCCCATTGTTACTGTAGAATCCTCATATATATGAATGTAAGTTACTGGAGCAGGAGTCGGTTCACTTACACCCTCTCTAGTTGCAAATTTTACCATATCTAATTTAACATCTTCCGCAGTCAATTTGTCTAAAATATTGGAAAGAATCTGCAAATTAGTCGAAAAAACATCAGGTTTGGATGTAAACGTTATTAAAGCTTGTCTTAAAACTTTTTGAATTTGACTACTCATTTTACTTTCCACTCTTACGTGAAGACAAACTATTTTAAATCCTCCTTGCACTTCTTAGTTAGGTACTTATTTTATATTCACATACTTTTGTATTAATACTTATTTAGTTTGTTTTGTACTTACAATAATTAAATAAACAAATCTTATGGCAAGTCAAGACCGGCAATTCGTCTGACGTTCATGACATGACAGATAAGGTTCTTTCTTTCGCTGTTGGTGTAGTGTCTACCAGTGTAAATTACACCAGTTACACCACCTTATTTACCCTAATTTACTTCCTCCTTATTCCTTACACACATGTCGAGAGTAAATTCACTTCTGCTAAATAGCTGGTGGAGAAAATATCCACCAGTGTACACCACATCGCCGACAGGAAGGTATAGTGGGTTTTACACCGGGCCAAACGAAAGCTTTGGTGTGCGTTGGTGTAGTTCATTACTACACCAGTGGGACGAACGAAAGAACCTATAATTAGGCATTCCAACGACCTGTCAAACAATAGGTGCCAGTGGGAAATTCTTGTATATTTAAGGGGGTAGCGACACAGTCTTGCAACTTGGACGCTATTTTTATTCGAAGTAGTACTCGCCAAGCCTGCCAATTTATGAAGAAATGCATAGGTGGGTTTTTTAAATATTATTTTTATTGTGTTTGACATAAAATATTTAAATGTAATCCATTATTCATGATTTTACGTAGAGTAGATAGAATACACCATATGTCGCCACCCTTAGATATACCAAACCCGCCCACTGGTAATTCATTTGTTTGGAATGCCTAATAGGTTCTGTTCGTCACACAAGCTGAGTCGGACTTGGGTAAGTCGTCCTTGAACGAAAATCGAAGTTCGGTTATATCCAGTTCATAGATATGTCTATGATCCAGTTATATCGCGTGAATTTAGAGATGGGTAGTAACAAATCCGTAAATGTACATAACAGTTACAGATTTACTAATATCCATCTCTAAATTCAAGTCTAACAGCAGAACCCCAGTATAAAGAACAATAGGGATCCGAAATTAAGATCGCAGCGCCACCTAACACACTCGTCGAAAACACTCATTTATACATTATAACCAGTGTTGTTCCTGGTTGTACAATTGTACAAAAAGTTGTACAATCAGTCATGCGGTTGTACTGTTGTACGCACTTTTGAAAAAAGACAGAAATGTTGTACAATTTGAAATTGCTAAATATTTATGTAAAATCAGGTATATAAAAGGTTTTCTTGGCTCAAAAAGTCTACGATTTGTTAAATAGCATGCATTAAAATTAATAAAAAAATAAAAGTTTAAATTTGGCGCCATTCGCGACCAATCAGTACACCGTTTTACATCAAAAATATATTTTAAACTGGAAAAAAGAAGAATTTTAAGCATGGGAAAGTAGTAGGCCATAGCCTGTCAATAAAAAAGAAGAAGATTAATTAGTGGTTGTACAATCGAAAGTAAAAGTGTACAATTTTGACACTGAAAGTTGTACAATTCAAAAATCCCTAGGAACAACACTGATTATAACAGCTGACTAGCATTTGTTTATATGTGAGAAGAAGCTGTTTTCATCTTATTTTTCGTTTTTTCTTTTATATTTTTAAAAAATATATTAAGAATACATATTTGTATAAATTAAATAGTGTGAATTTTAGTGGTTCATTAGTTTTATTTAGTTTTTAAAAACATTAAGGAACACTTTGTGTGATTTTTAGGTTAAGACAAATTTGCTGAATCTATTTTTCCTGGTAAGTGATTTATTTTAGTAGAATATTGTCTTTTTATTTAATTTAGAATTAGTAATAAAATCGACATTTTTAGAACTATAACCAATTCTGTTTTTAAAAATTGTTACATCAAAAATAATTATTTTTTAGGATCATGTCTGATATTCGACTGAGCTTGTTAGATGTAATGGAGTATTTGGGTGGGACAAAAAACTCCAGGTGTATTTATGAAGGAGAGGCTATTTTAAATTCTGGACATATTGTTTTATGTGGGAAGAGCGGAAGTGATGAAAATCACATCTCGGTATATGTCCTTGTTCTCCAGACAAGTGCAATAAGTTCTGATCCCCATACTATACAGGGTCAGTTAATAACAATTTGTGACAAAGTAAAAGTTGGCAAATGGAGTTGTTCCTGTAAGGCTGGTAACAGTGGGCACTGTAAACATATTTCAGGAGTTCTTATAAAATGTACCAGGTGTATAATGTTTCAAAAAAAAGCGCTATCATGCAAAAACGATTGAACACATAATATTTTCACCAACTAATTAGTGTTTTTCTTTTTCTGTTCTTTTTTTTGTGTTTTAGGGAAAATCTTTCTACATTAGAACTGGTTTCACAAACTGACATAAAATGTATGTGGGCTGTTCAAAATTATGAGGTCAGAGAAAAATATGAGGCAGTTCCAATTAGTGAAATGCCATGATTTACAAATAAAATTACAAAAAATAATTTAAACTTTGATGAAAATGAAATGCAAACTTTTTTTATTTCACAACTTCCAGAATCTGCCATTGCTCAACATCAGTAAATAATGATCATATTTTATTTACAAGAATTATTTATTTGTTGTTTTTAGTATGGGAAGAAGTTCAGGACAGATGACACTCATAAAAAATGTTGACTTTGTGGAAGAACAAAATTTTTACACATTAATTCTTAATAATGCTGCACAATCAATCATTATGTTAGAAATTCATTCTTTGTCTTTAGATATTCCAGATTGTTGTGCATCATTATTAGAAAATGAATTTAATCAAAATCCTGAAAATATAATACAGGAAGTTCAAAAATCTAAAATGTGGAGAACAGTAAGGCAATATCGAGTGACAGGCTCTAGATGCTATGAACTATATACATATTCAAAAAACGATTGGGAGACTAAATCTATGAAATACTTTTGGCCAAAGAGTTTTACAAACAAATATGTTAAACATGGAGAGAAGTTTGAAAGATTTGCTCGAGAAGCGTTTCTTTCTATTACAGGTAAAATGTATTAATTTTTTTATATAAAAAATATGTTTATTTCCTTTATTTTCAGGCTTCAAGATTATTGAATGTGGTTTGGTGATTCCCCACAATAACAAGTGGTTGGGGTTCTCTCCTGATGGAGTAATTTTTGAAAATGGTCATCCAACTGCTTTGTTAGAGATCAAATGTGTCTTTGAAGGTTAGTAACAGATACAAGCTACAATGGTAATTGTGTATTGCAAAAGCATATATTTTTTAGGATCAAAAATGACTATATGTGATGCCCTACAAACCGTTTCATATTTGAAGAGAAATAATGGTGAATACTTACTTAAATCGAAGCATAAATATTATGGTCAGATTCAGCTAGGTTTAAGTATTTTAAACCTAACGAAATGTTATTTAATACTATATGCATCATTCGATGACTCGTTTGTAACAGTCGAAGTTGATTTTGATTATAATTTTTCAAGTAAAATGTTATCGCATATAAAATTTAATTATATGAAGAATATGATTCATAACATTTGTACATTTAGGAAGAATTAAGTCATTTAAAAATAATTTTATAGGTATTTTAGGTGTAGGTTAAATTATTTATATTTTATATTTTAGGTGTTTTATTATATAGGTGTAGGTAGCAAGCTTTAAAATTTGTTAGGCAAAATTTTTACTTTTAATAAATATAAAATAATTCAATATTTGTTCCAAATCAATTAGAATTCCCCAATCTTCTCTTCCTCATTGTTGCATTATCTACTACAAATCCTGTTATTTGACAATTTTGCTATAAAAAATAAAAATCTATAAAAGTACTTACTATTTTTATTACTGAATAATAAATAAAAATATTTATATGGGTCATTGTTCAATAAATAAAAATACATACATTAGTTTTGACATAAATATCAAGTAAAATATTTTACAATGTTACAATAGCCGTAGGTATTAAGAAGAAATAGCATATCGATAAAAGAAAAATACATAAAATATTTGCTTAAGTGAAAGAAATACCCCAAGTCCTCTGACAAAAGAGTACCGCATTTATAGTTACAGTGTGCACATGTCTTCTTTTTTCAGTTGCACTTTGTTGTTGCTTAGCAGTGTAAACTTTATTAAGGTACATTTACATGAATACAAGAAGTCGCTTAAAAAAACTAAGATTATGTTTTACATTTTGTCTACAAATACTAGAACAATTTATTTTCGTACTTAATAAATACATTTCCCAGCTGAACATTTATTTTTAGGGTTTTTAAAGATAATCTTACATAATTGTCCCACTGAGTATCGGTAACATTATTCAAAGCTTCTAACCAAGTCTTAAATACATCTTCCAGTGTCGACTTTATTGTTAAAATTTATTTATTGACAAATTCAAAATTATTTTGATAACTGATGCCTGACATAATAACATGATGTAATTAAACTAAGACATGCCAAAATGTTATAGATTTAAAACTCTACTTTTTCATTAGTAACATTAATCAGCAAAAAATCTGTTTTTTGCCATTATTGGGCTAGATAAATTTGTCATACCACAGATAATAATAAAAATATCATTAATTTGGGGAACTAAATTCCACTGAAGTTTTTCACTCAATATTTTAAACACTTTAATCCTTTGGTTACTTCTTTCTATATGGACTCTAGCTGAAGCTATTTTAGTGTTTAATGTAGATTCTTCGGCACTCAACTGCTTTTTATTTTTTAAAAAAGGTGGTCTAATAAGCCCTATTTTATGTTTAATACATATATCATCAATTAAGAAGCCTTTATCAACCATTAGTTTATCCCTCCCACCTTCTAGTTTATTAATTATTCCACTCTTCTCAAAGATGATCTTATCAGAGGCTCTACCCCCAAAGGGTTCACTTACAAAAGTTATAAGACCGCCCGGAGACACCCCCATCATAAATTTTACGGTCTGTGCAGACTTGTACTGTGAATAAAAACGAATACGACAGCACAGGCATTTAGCTTTTTGGACATAAATCTCAGTACAGTCTAATACAATTCTAACATCCTCAAAACCTTCAAAACATATTGGAATATTTTTTTTAATTTCTTCGGAAGTTGGAAATGGAATGCAGCATTTTAAATTTTTTCCCAATATGCCTATCATGTCACAAATATATATTTTAATCAGCTTCTCTGAAACACCAAATAATGTAGACAGTGCTGTATAGCTCAAGTTTAACTTGAGTTTAACAAAAACCAAAATAATTCTGTCTCTTATTGATAATCTGTGGGATCTCTGATCTTTATATACATTT